ATGGTCACGCTTATGAATTTTCTGATTTATTTGTTTTCTTTTCATTTATTTGCTTATCTTTCGGACATCACAGGCATTGCAAGTTTCGTAAAATATGACTGAGTTCCATTTCGTAGGGTATTCTGTTTGTTTTCTGTTAATTTACTTTGTTTTGACATTTTACGGCAAATGTGTTAAGTGAAATTAAGTGGTAAAAGTAACAAGTTATTACAAGTAAATGATAAATGACGATAAGTGCCTTTGAATGCGAAGAGATCCGTGTTTACAGAAATAAGTTTACTCATATATAAGTACCAGACGTATTGGTGATATACATATGTATGTATAGTTTCGAAAATGTTTCTACTGTCCAAATTTTATCGCTGGATTTCAAAACTGCACATTTTCATGATCTTTGTGTACTTTTATTGGTTGTATTTTAGGAACATTTCGAAAGTGTTGTTGGTGAAACCTGACCTTTCATGGATATGTTACTCTCCAGTACACAATTTTCGTTAATTGCTTTTAGTTTAGTTACTTCCGATAGGCAAACTTTGAAGAGTGGCGAAAATATGGATATTCTTATTATATAGAAAAAAATAAATAAATTCATAAATTCAACTAGTATGTGAGTGTCAGAAAACATTCAGTGCGGGTTGGGAAGCCATCGAACTAAAATGAAACCGAAAAAAAAAAATCGCTGAAGGCACTAAAGAGTCTTATTACGAGTGAAAGGGAAATATAAAGTAGTTGTGTACTCAATACATGTTTGACTTATAACGGTTCGTTATAGGATGGTTGAGTTTGAAAAGTTTTTAAAAACTGTTAATACTCAAGGTGCATGGATCCTTTGAAGTCATTAACAGAGCGTTCAGGGCTGGTCAAGGACAACCTCGCTATCAATTGCATCGAGTGTCTTTCGAATAAGACTGGTATGGGTGCCAGGCCACTCCGGAATTGCAGAATATTGTAAAGCTGATGAGCTAGCTAGCTAGGAAATGCACGCTATAACCGTAATCGGTAGAATAAGAGCTCGTCGGTGCTTCCGCATTCTTTGTTTTCTGATAACTGGGCTTCGCGGAAGTTTGGACAGCGCGGGGCGGTTCGGTACATGGGCTGTCGAAAAAGCCTTTTGGGACAAAATCGATCGTAAGAGATTTAGTGATCTTTTCTCTAAGTAAGGCTAGCGACTGCCTTATTGGCGTTCACACTGTAGGAGTGAGAGTCTTATTAGAGGCAATTTGCAGAAGCTGTATGAAGGAATATGAGGTGGAAACAACTTAACACTTTCTTCTTGACTGTCCCGCGTTTGGAATGTCAAGACTTAAACACTTGAAAGAGAATATCTTCAGTCATCCACCGAACTGGTGGAAATGTAAATGTAAATTAAACGCCTGAGCAAATTTGTTTTGGCTACTGAGCGTGTTACTAATTTTTAAGTTCAAACACAGAAGTTTTCTTTGGCTTCACAAAGAACTACATATAGTGGTCCACGTGCGATATCTATAGATCAGCCGACTAATCTAATCTAACGTAACATCTATTTCTGCCAATTCGCTAAGCTTGTAAAAAGTGTGACAACTGAGTTGTTTCTGGCTTAGTCTGATGAAGGAAAGAACCTTTCATAAAGTAGTTATTCAAGGACAAAAATATTCAAGACTTGGACAATTTTCGGTGAATATATCGAGTATAAAACGAAAAACACGTGCAAAATTTAAGACTTTAGCATTAGTGGGTAGAGTTTACATATTTCCGTCCGAATATGTCGTTACGTGTTAGAACTAGACAGATCTCTCTTCAAGTCCATCTTTATGGATACGGAGCTCTTCATATTTTCTGTATTTTATATAGTTATTGCTTGCGAAAATGATTTTGTAACTATTCTATGCAAATATTTAAGTATCTCGGCAAAGTTGTTTAAGATACTATATTTTTCGGTACAGTACTGTAAATAAGTATTTCAAGCATTTGAGTATATGTATGTAGAATTTCTATACTTGAAGACAAAAAATCAGTAATTTATTTGCTAAAAATTAAGTAATTAAGTGTGTCTCAAAACTAACGATATGTCGAGCGTATTTAAATGAACATGAAGCGTAGCAAAGTCAAACAGCAAATAAAAAATGCGAGACTAACCTGAGCAAACCAGTTCCCAAATCATAAAACAAGGAAGCTGTGTGAAGTTTATTATACTAAGGTATATATATGTATATACAAGTAGACAAATATATGCTTGTTTGTGCAGAACACACATAAGTCAAGCGGAGCACACTTTGAAGACCCACAATAGTTAAAACGTGTTTTAGAACAAAACGTAAAAATCGAATGTGGCGTATAGAATCGACTGCCGAGCCAAAAACGATCGCTTAAGACCGCAAAAGTGAGTCAAGTCAAAAGGCGATTGCGGGCGAGTTGCGGTTGACAAACGAACCTTGCTGGCGAGACGCAGTGTACATACAGATATACAAACTTATCTACCAGTAATTATATACTTATGCTCATATAAAAAATAGATATGCATATATTTAAGTATATATCCACCGAAAAACAGCATTCTTATTGAAGCGTCACTTTGACTTTTAATTCAACTAAATATTCAAGAAATACCTACAGAGATATATAATTAATTAAGGCGTGTTCTTGGCATATATATATGTATATACGTATATATGTATAAGAAGCAAAAGACAAAAGTTATTTGCCAACACTGTAGCACTGAAGCGCGTCGCGGCTCGAGAATCATTAAAAGTTACCAGCGACAGGAGAGTTCAAGGTCGTTGATGTGACGCGATTATGGGTTAGGAGGTAAACGAAGCAGCAGCGTAACTTTTTTAAATGTGGAGCGAACCTTAAGAAGCACAAAAACAGAAAAGAGACAAGAATTTGAAGTACATATGTATGTATGGATGTATTAGGGCTTATATAGTACAGTGTAGTTGGTAAAGCATCTTGCATCACACCAATAAATAGCTTGTTCTTTGTTGAAAAGTATTGGAAAAGAAGTGAAAAAATAAAATGCCAGAAAAATGGTAGAGTGCGAGATAAGTGTAGCTCGATTACATAACTACATAACTAAACTGAATTTTCCAAAACCTCATTTTTCTAGTTAGAGGTTGTTCCTCAGGCAAGCTCAGCATTCGCTGATCAGACAACTGAACTATTGCAAGTTGCCTCTGGCTCATAGTAAATCATAAGAGGTCTAATGAGTTCCTCGCTTTCAGCCAAGTTCACCTTTCAACAGTTACATGAGCTCTAACTGGACACTGTCTGATCGGAATTCCTGCGGTAAGATTGAAAATTTTACTGGATATCAGCTGCATAAGCTAGTTCGAAGAGGATGTGCTAAAATCAAGTATTTACTTCTCTTCTCGAATGCCATACGTTTGCTAGGCTAAGGACAAAATAACTCGAATCTCATAGCTTTAGACATTCAGTTGAAATTGAGTCTTTTTATCTAGTTTCACAAATGACTGAACTTAGTAGTCTCCCGCTACCTGGGGTATCAGCCAACTAACCTAACCTATATCTCTTTAAGGTTGTGTTTTTGTGTGAAACAAAATGAAGATTCTACAGGTTTTAGATACTTCTTCCAAAGCGCGGAGGTATTTTATATGAAGACTTTTTGAATACTCCGGTTACAAGGAATACGAAGCTATAGAAATATTTTAGAAAATCGGCAACTGAGCCCATGGTTTATGCATTATGCAAAGGATGAAAACCAAGTTGGAATCAAATTTTGAAAGATAAATACTTCGGAAGCCTCATTTCAGAAAACCAACTCATCAATATTAGCAGATGGTATTAAAACGAAAATTCCTTAGTAAAAATCTCATAAGAATCTATAAAAATTATATGAAATGCACGCACATATATTCTATAATCTCTGACTTAAATTGGATATCATTTGCTCGAGTGGGTTTCTGTTTAAGGCCTCAATCGATTTGTGGCAGATATTTAAGTATTGGAAATTAATGAATGTCAAAATAGCTAAAATGTAGAAATCAGTCGGAAAAGACATTTTTTTTAGTTATTATCAATCATCACTTAAAATAATCACAATATTTTTGAGTCTTTATAAGGGTTATTGGAAGCCTCTATTGCCCCTATTGTCTCAATAATAATATTATAATTTTCGAATCAAATTTACATTCGTCTTCGAACCTAATTTCCGGCAGGCTTATGATCTTATTTAATTAGGTGGATGTAAATTTGAGGGAAGTTTCTACGATCCCATGCACTCGCTGAGTGAAACTCTAATATTTTGTTCTCGAAAAAGAGTTTTTGAAACATTTCAACACCTATGTTGCTATTAGTTGATATGGAAAATAAGTATTAAGATGCAGAAGTTTGTGAATTCGAGTCTAGGTAAGAAGTCTACTCAAACTTTCTCTTAGAGACTAGTGATTTTATAATAGATATCGACTATTAATGTATTAGGTTAGGCCCCTTCGAAATGTTTTCCAAAGGGAACAAAAAGTTAATATTTTCAGCGAAATTTACTGTTATGAACTAAAAATAACTAGTGAGTTCGGGTTTCCATTTCGTTGAGTTTCTGAAACTTTAGTAAACGATATTAGAATTTGAAATTCTATGCAAAAAATAAGAGTTTCAAATTGGAAACTACTGCAATCTTGGGACACTTGTCTCCTTCACTACGAAATTTTTTAAACAAACTAAACAATTTAGTGTCGTTAAAATTATTAAAGTCCGAAGCTGCAATGAGAGTGTGGCTCAGCACACAAAAGTGCGGCGCGACTTTAAGCTCTTTTCGAGCAACCACAACGTAACTGTAACGAATCAAACTAATCACTAACAAATTGATTGAAGTTTGTATGAGTGAAAAGTAATTTGGAAAATCTGCATGTAGGCACGTAAAAATTTGTGTAGGTTCTCTGCGGCACTTATAAATGAAAGTGTGCTGCGTGTTATGAGTATTAGTGTGTAAGCATGAATTATGGGAAATTTATTGGCTGTCTAACGTTGCTACTTGAAAATAAGAGTTAAGAAACGGTGCTACTTACCAGCTTGGAGACGGTGAAATGCTCAAACAGTGCTTAACTACTGAATATAGTTTATGGTGTGCCATTGAATAATTTGATTTATTGTAACACGCAAGTGGCGTTTGGCGCTGCGTTGATGGTTCGCTGGAAAAATAAAATGTTGATAATGAAGAAAACTGGTTTTAATTTTATGGTGGTGAAGGTAGTGATATTTCCGGGAAGTAAATTTGAATTCGGTACTCAAACTTTTCTTTTTAAGAAAATTACAATTTATTTGAGTTGGCTTTTACTTATGATTTATAGAAAAGGTTGGCAATTTTCGAAATTATGATAGGAATGCGAATATCGATGATAGAAGCAGCTTAGTTTGAAAGAAGTGTATTTTATGTTACGAATTTTTACATAAAAAATATATAAAAATTAAAAAATAAAATAAACTAAAAAGTTAATAAAGTTAAAGTTATTAAATTAACAGATAATGAAATAAAAAACAGCAATACAAAATGTAATCAAATAACTAAAAAGATAAATGTAGTTAGATATAAAATTATAAAATATAAAGAAATTAACG